ATCTATCTATATATATATATATATATATATATATATATATATATATCTATATATATATATATATATATATATATATATTTTACAGTGCACAGCATAAATGAGTACATCCCCTCTGATTAAATATAAAATATGTATTTTCTTAATGATCACTAATATAATTCATAGAAATATGGCAAAATGTAAATGTATTAAACATATTCTCAATAAAAACAGAGAAATACATGCCATTAATATCTGTAAAATAAGAAAATTAGCCAATTTTTGTTTAAATGAAGGATTGCAGAATTGAGTTCAACCTAGATTTAATTCAATCAAGTGTGTTACTTTGGCTATATTTTCACACTTAAAACAATAATTTGGTATTCCTCTTGTACCATTGTCCTCTTTTATGCTAAGAAATAAATCTCCTTATAGTTCTCTCTAAAGTGGTTTCATTGTTGTCAGCATTAAGTCTGAGTATGATTCAGTGGGCCATATAACACTTAATTATCAAGAAATTACCTTTAACAGTTTTGGTTCAACATACTTACCTGTTGATCAATACTTGCCTTAACCTTACACCAGCATTTATTTATTTATTTATTGTTTTATTTAGTAACTTTCAGGAGGGTGTACTCATTTTTGCAACACAACATTTTATCACTTTGATAAGAAAATTGTATTTTCTTGAATAATTTTAACATTCTTCTTTGGTAACTGATCAAGCAGACTTGCTGGAATATTATATCTCTAAAAAACCATAACATGTCTTCTAAGCAAAGAGTAATTGCTGAATTTGTTAAGTTTCAGAGGGGGTGTACTCATTTATGCTGTGCACTGTATATACTGTATATATATATATATATGCATGCATGTATGTATAAATGTGCATGTTAAATGAATTCATGTAATTATATCTATAAATAGATAGATACATTGATACTTTAAATTGGAGGTGTGACATATGACATCACATGAAATACAGTTTTAATAGATCTTTTCATTTCTTTTTAGAGATGGTCTCAACACAAATGCTTGACACACAGAAGAGAGAATAACATTTAAGCATGGAGAAGCTTGGTTCCATCTCAAACCCGTGAAGCATGGAGAAAGCTGTGCCTGGTCTGATGCTGGGTTTCCTGACCAATCACACAATTCCAAATGACACGGCCGGCCAGCGGAGCACAAGCAAGCCTACCCCTCCCAGCATGGAGGAGGTCATCCACTCAGAATCCCAGATTAAGGATCTTGTTGGGCTGTTTTGCATGGTGACCCTTAACCTGGCAGCCCTATTGGGCAACAGTGGAGTCATGGTGGCCATTGCCCGAGCTCCTCACATGAAAAAATATGTGTTTGTGTGTCATCTTTGTGCAGTTGACCTGCTTTGTGCTATATTGCTGATGCCTCTCGGGATAGTATCTAGTTCTCCGTTCTTCAGCACTGTAGCATTTACTGTTCTGGAGTGCCAAGTATACATCTTTCTAAATGTGTTTCTCATCTGTGCCTCTATTCTTACTGTGACAGCGATCAGTATTGAACGCTATTACTACATTGTCCATCCTATGCGATATGAGGTAAAGATGACTCTAAACCTGGCGCTTGGTGTTATGGTCTTCATTTGGGTCAAATCCATCCTGCTGGCATTGGTTACGCTTCTTGGTTGGCCAGCATATGGAAATCAGAGCTCCATTGCAGCAGCCCACTGCTCTTTACACTGGAGCCACAGCCGTCTTAGGAAGGTTTTTGCTATTCTGTTCAGCGTGCTTTGCTTCTTGGTTCCCTCTGTTGTGATTTTTGCCGTATATTGCAATGTATACAAGGTCGCACGAACGGCAGCCCGTCAGCATGCACCGATGCCCACCTGGACAGCCAACCAGGCTAAGCGTCGCTCGGATTCCATTAACAGTCAGACCACTATCATCACCACCACTCGCAGCCTCCCCCAGAGATTGTCTCCTGAGAGAGTTTTTGGGGGAGGAAAGGCTGCTATCACCCTGGTTGTCATTGTAGGCCAGTTTCTTATCTGCTGGCTCCCGTACTTCAGTTTCCACCTTCACATGTCCATCACCACTCCACTTCAAAGCCCAGGGGACATCGAAGAAGCCGTCACATGGCTAGCGTACTCCTCGTTTGCTGTGAATCCATTCTTCTATGGTCTTCTAAACCGACAGATCCGCGAGGAACTGATAAAACTGAGAAAATGTTGTGCCCGTAGACCCGTTGAACTTCGAGCCTCCAGTCACGAAGGATCCATCCAGGAAAACTTTCTTCAGTTTCTGCAGAGAACCAGCAGCACAGCTGAGACCACCAGGCCCAATTGTGGCAATTCCAGTCCGAGGATTACTGTGAACCAGGGTGCCAGGTTACCTGGCCAGATTCTTGAGGAATGACTAGGAAAACATGTCAGTAACTGCTCAGATGCCACTAGCCAAATCAAGCCTTATGAAGTTTTGTTTTTAATAAGAAGGGCATTCATTCAATGCAAAATCATACCTAAATGCTCTTTGGACCAGTGTAATCTATGTATCCATAATTTGTTGTTATGGTTCCCATAGATCAGTGGCAACAATAAGTATTTATGATAAGGTTAAATATCAAATTTCACAACTTTTGTTGCATATTCATTTATTTCTGATAAATTGTTTAGTTAACTGAGAATTACTCTCAGTCATTATTCATTCGTTTCATAATATCAACACTCATACTCAATAATTACTATTAAGTCTTGACTCATAATGGTGCCTGTATTGATACTATCATGACGCAAATATAAATTATAAAACATATATATATATTTTCGGTGAAAATAATAAAACCATATTTCTAGCATTTGAAATGTACTTTAATGGCTCACTTTGTAGGAAGTTTCTCGCTCCACAAGTTACATTACCACGCCTAATTCAGTTTGGTTTGATGAAAAGAACCTTCTTCGAGTATCTGAGGGAGCTCTGATGTTCGTTACTAACTCCATGTTGCCCTGTAACCATGGAAATGTGATGAGACAGAGACTTGCATAGCAACAGAGCGCCTTTGAGTATCGTCCTAGCAGATTGGCTGAAATAAAGGGTTTCAGGCTAGCTTCTTTTATAAGCTGCACTATATGGTAATACCTGTTTTATATGACTATTATGTATAGGAAGATATTACCTATAGTTTGAGATGTAGACTGTTAATGTAACCTTTGAGAGCAGTGTACTAGAAATCATTACCATGCAATGCAAGTGTGCAGAATGAGATAACGTGCTGCAATTTTATGGTCTTTTGCCTTTTCGTGTACAACTTTAACAAACAGAGGGAAAAAATCAGGAGCCAGCTTGCTTGTTCTTAGCAAACAGTGGCAATGACCTTTTTACCGGTTCATATTGCAAACTAGATGTTGAATTTGTTTTAATTATGTAACTTGGGCTGTACAGTATATTCAATGCTTTAGTTTAGTAAACATAACAGGTCTGTTTGCTGGTGTGTGTAAATGACAGGGGTGTGACGGAACTGTGTATACAAATAAAAGTGAAAAAATATATATATATATATATACACTGTATATAGCTTGTGTATAAATAAGATAAATAAGAACAAAATTCGAATTACCGTAATGAATGTTTTGATGTTTACTTTCAAGTTTTTTCCCTCTAATTTTTTTTTATTCTCAGTGGTGATTCTCATTGCCATAATGCAGTGCAGTACAATACTTTTTTTTTATCTGCTTCAGTATAAATTAAAGCCAGCACAACAAATACTACAAGGATTTTAAAAACTTTACAATGTTAATATTGTTAGAATTATTTTCTCACATTATTGTAATGAGATTCGGATAGGAAAATGTGCGTAATCATGATACTGTCAAAATGAAAAAAAAAATGTCTTCATTTTCTTTAAAGGGGTCATAAGATGCTATTTTAAAGATCATTATTTTGTGTATTTGGTGTAACAGAATATGTTGACATGCTTTAATGTTCAAAAATAATAAGAAGGGCATTCATTCAATGCAAAATCATACCTAAATGCTCTTTGGACCAGTGTAATCTATGTATCCATAATTTGTTGTTATGGTTCCCATAGATCAGTGGCAACAATAAGTATTTATGATAAGGTTAAATATCAAATTTCACAACTTTTGTTGCATATTCATTTATTTCTGATAAATTGTTTAGTTAACTGAGAATTACTCTCAGTCATTATTCATTCGTTTCATAATATCAACACTCATACTCAATAATTACTATTAAGTCTTGACTCATAATGGTGCCTGTATTGATACTATCATGACGCAAATATAAATTATAATATATACATATATATATTTTTTCGGTGAAAATAATAAAACCATATTTCTAGCATTTGAAATGTACTTTAATGGCTCACTTTGTAGGAAGTTTCTCGCTCCACAAGTTACATTACGCAGCCCACTGCTCTTTACACTGGAGCCACAGCCGTCTTAGGAAGGTTTTTGCTATTCTGTTCAGCGTGCTTTGCTTCTTGGTTCCCTCTGTTGTGATTTTTGCCGTATATTGCAATGTATACAAGGTCGCACGAACGGCAGCCCGTCAGCATGCACCGATGCCCACCTGGACAGCCAACCAGGCTAAGCGTCGCTCGGATTCCATTAACAGTCAGACCACTATCATCACCACCACTCGCAGCCTCCCCCAGAGATTGTCTCCTGAGAGAGTTTTTGGGGGAGGAAAGGCTGCTATCACCCTGGTTGTCATTGTAGGCCAGTTTCTTATCTGCTGGCTCCCGTACTTCAGTTTCCACCTTCACATGTCCATCACCACTCCACTTCAAAGCCCAGGGGACATCGAAGAAGCCGTCACATGGCTAGCGTACTCCTCGTTTGCTGTGAATCCATTCTTCTATGGTCTTCTAAACCGACAGATCCGCGAGGAACTGATAAAACTGAGAAAATGTTGTGCCCGTAGACCCGTTGAACTTCGAGCCTCCAGTCACGAAGGATCCATCCAGGAAAACTTTCTTCAGTTTCTGCAGAGAACCAGCAGCACAGCTGAGACCACCAGGCCCAATTGTGGCAATTCCAGTCCGAGGATTACTGTGAACCAGGGTGCCAGGTTACCTGGCCAGATTCTTGAGGAATGACTAGGAAAACATGTCAGTAACTGCTCAGATGCCACTAGCCAAATCAAGCCTTATGAAGTTTTGTTTTTAATAAGAAGGGCATTCATTCAATGCAAAATCATACCTAAATGCTCTTTGGACCAGTGTAATCTATGTATCCATAATTTGTTGTTATGGTTCCCATAGATCAGTGGCAACAATAAGTATTTATGATAAGGTTAAATATCAAATTTCACAACTTTTGTTGCATATTCATTTATTTCTGATAAATTGTTTAGTTAACTGAGAATTACTCTCAGTCATTATTCATTCGTTTCATAATATCAACACTCATACTCAATAATTACTATTAAGTCTTGACTCATAATGGTGCCTGTATTGATACTATCATGACGCAAATATAAATATACATATATACATATATATATTTTTTCGGTGAAAATAATAAAACCATATTTCTAGCATTTGAAATGTACTTTAATGTGTAGGAAGTTAGGAAGTTTCTCGCTCCACAAGTTACATTACCACGCCTAATTCAGTTTGGTTTGATGAAAAGAACCTTCTTCGAGTATCTGAGGGAGCTCTGATGTTCGTTACTAACTCCATGTTGCCCTGTAACCATGGAAATGTGATGAGACAGAGACTTGCATAGCAACAGAGCGCCTTTGAGTATCGTCCTAGCAGATTGGCTGAAATAAAGGGTTTCAGGCTAGCTTCTTTTATAAGCTGCACTATATGGTAATACCTGTTTTATATGACTATTATGTATAGGAAGATATTACCTATAGTTTGAGATGTAGACTGTTAATGTAACCTTTGAGAGCAGTGTACTAGAAATCATTACCATGCAATGCAAGTGTGCAGAATGAGATAACGTGCTGCAATTTTATGGTCTTTTGCCTTTTCGTGTACAACTTTAACAAACAGAGGGAAAAAATCAGGAGCCAGCTTGCTTGTTCTTAGCAAACAGTGGCAATGACCTTTTTACCGGTTCATATTGCAAACTAGATGTTGAATTTGTTTTAATTATGTAACTTGGGCTGTACAGTATATTCAATGCTTTAGTTTAGTAAACATAACAGGTCTGTTTGCTGGTGTGTGTAAATGACAGGGGTGTGACGGAACTGTGTATACAAATAAAAGTGCTTCAGGTCACATTTAACCCCTATAAATAAGCAAAAAATAAATAAATATATATATATACACTGTATATAGCTTGTGTATAAATAAGATAAATAAGAACAAAATTCTAATTACCGTAATGAATGTTTTGATGTTTACTTTCAAGTTTTTTCCCTCTAATTTTTTTTTATTCTCAGTGGTGATTCTCATTGCCATAATGCAGTGCAGTACAATACTTTTTTTTATCTGCTTCAGTATAAATTAAAGCCAGCACAACAAATACTACAAGGATTTTAAAAACTTTACAATGTTAATATTGTTAGAATTATTTTCTCACATTATTGTAATGAGATTCGGATAGGAAAATGTGCGTAATCATGATACTGTCAAAATGAAAAAAAAAAATGTCTTCACTTTCTTTAAAGGGGTCATATGATGCTATTTTAAAGATCATTATTTTGTGTATTTGGTGTAACAGAATATGTTGACATGCTTTAATGTTCAAAAAACACATTATTTTTCAAATACTGTACATTATTGTAGGTCCTCTATGCCCCGCCTCTCTCAAACACGTCGTTTTCAACAAAGCCCCCTCCTTTGACAAGCGCAGTCTGCTCTGATTGGCCAGCTGACCCAGTGCATTGTGATTGGCCGAACACCACAAGCACGCATCGGAAATGTAACGTCCCTTACCATAATCGCGAGCGTCAGCTTTCAAAGTAAATATCAAGACAGTTAATAATGTCATTAGTTTTACCATCAGTTCAAGCCCGAAAGGGGAACAGTCACGTGACGAGACACAGTGATGATGCGGTACACAAGCAGCGGTTAAGACAGCTGACGTGCTATGATTTATAACCTTTGTGCACAGCCAGCCTTGTACTCTTCTAGGTTAAAAAAAAAAACCTGTCGTCCATAAAATGCGTTGCACAAATTCGAACATCTGGGTTGTGTTGTTCTGTTGTAAATAAATCTTAACCAATGATTCCTAATTGCATCTACTTCCAGAAGGCCAAATAAAGTGCTTTTGCTTTCGCACTGAAATACAGAGCGTCTCCCTGACATAGCTGCATCAACACGACTGCTGTTCCTGAAACCACGCCTTCTTTCTTTGCGTGCACATTTGGGCAGCATTATGCTAATATTTCCACATAGTGACGTAGGTATGTGGGGGCGTGTTAGAGCGAGCCGTTTTAGGAGTCTTTAAGTCTTTGCAACTTTACAGATCTTCTTTATGCACCAAGAGCTTGTAACTCTCCAAAGAGAAAGGAAAACTTGAAATCTCATCATATGACCCCTTTTTAAGCAAAATATTTATTTATTTTTGATTTTAGGGTAAAATATGGCATTAACATATTTTTGGCAGATTCAGGCATGAAATCAGAGAGCTCAATGCCTTTTGAAGTCATTATGAAGATCCAAGTCAGTGCAAGTACCACTGTATGTGAAGGAATAGACTGAATGAAGCCATATTCTCTAAAGCTAGCATGATGTATTCTTGTTGCGGATTAGTCTGTGGTTCAAAACAGGTCTTTCTCATCAGTGATTCAATAGAGAGTGATTTGATCTGTCACATCAAACAATGAAACCACGAGCCATGCATGAGGAGAGATAGAAAGTCAGAAACAGAGGGGGAGGTGCAGAGAGAGAGAGAGAGTGAGAGGCAGGTACATGTGGGGCTTGATTAGGGATTCATAAACTTGAGTGTCCCTGTCATGATCAAAACAAGGCCAGGCAAAAATAGAACCTGAAAGGATTTAGACATTTTGAGGTGAAGATTAAAGGAAATTGATTAAAGAGGGGGGAAATCATGGTCAGATGAACTGCAACAAACTCCACCCCCTGAACTATGGACACAATAATAAAGCGATGAAGACCTGCTGTAAACATTGTGTGGGTTACAGACGACCAAATGCTTTAATAAAATTGTAATCTGAATAACACCAGAAATGTGAAAGGGTCATATCACTAATTTTGGTAAATTAATTATTTTGCCCCCTTTTTCCCACTTATGTTGTTTGTAAAGTTTTTTGCACCGAAAATGGTCAAAATTTACTCCATGACCATTCCACCCTCTTTCTGACCTTTAGAATTAAATGTACCATTTTAAGCCTTTAAAATCTCCAAGTAAATGTAGCATATGAAATGAGCGGTGTCCAATGACATTTTTGGATTTTAAAGATTTTTACTGTACGTTATTATTTCAATTACATAAAACATCAAAGTGACAATATGTTTTGATCTATTATAAATATACTAGTATAATTAAATAGACTATTTTATAAATGCTAGGGAAATTTTTAAAATAAACATCAGTAGCTTTTAAAGGAACACGCCACTATTTTTGAAAATAGGCACATTTTCCAACTCCCCTAGAGTTAAACAGTTGAGTTTTACCATTTTCGAATCCGTTCAGCCGATCTCCAGGTCTGGCGGTAGCACTTTTAACTGCAGCTTAGCATAGATCATTGAATCTGATTAGCCCGTTTGCATCTCGCTCAAAAATGACCAAAGAATTTCGATATTTTTCCTATTTAAAACTTGACTCTTCTGTAGTTACATCGTGTACTAAGACCAACGGAAAATTTAAAGTTGCAATTTTCTAGGCCGATATGGCTAGGAACTATACTCTCATTCCAGCGTAATAATCAAGGAACTTTGCTGCCGTACCATGGGTGCAGCAGGCGAAATGATATTACACAGCGCCTGAAAATAGTCCCCAGCTAGGTAATAGGAAAAATATCGAAACTCTTTGGTTATTTTTGAGCGAGATGCTAACAGTCCAATCAGATTCAATGATATATGCTAAGCTACAGCTAAAAGTTCTACAGCTAGACCCGGAGATCGGCTGAATGGATTAGAAAATGGTAAAACTCACCTGTTTAACTCTAGGGGAGTTGGAAAATGAGCCTATTTTCAAAAATAGTGGCATGTTCCTTTAACAATGGGATCTTATGAAAGAATATGCAGAGTTTCAGGTGCTACACCAAGCTAGGATGAGCAGAAGTTTGAGCAGACTTAACTCTTATTGTTAGCTCTCTTGGTGTTTAGGAATAATCAGTAATCAAACTCCCCTTATTACCTCATTGTGCCTGGGTCGGCCATGCTTTTAAACATTCAAAAGCTGTCAAAATTAATATTTATTTGATTATTTCCAGTTGTTTATTATGTTTTTAGTTATTTTTTATGCAATGAGGACAGAGGATATGATGTCTGCATGCGCCACCTAACAACTGAGCAGTTTGGAGGCAATTTTGTTTGAAGCTGTTGGTTCAAACGAGGTTTTGGGTGGGCAAATCTGGAATGGAATGATTCATAATTGCAGCAACATCTGGAGGGGCAGGTGTGAGTGTCAGAACACAGCGCTCTGAATCCTGCTGCTGAAATCCACTTAAGCTAGTGGGATGGGAGTTTATTACATCAATTTAGTGGCAAAAGAGGGTTTTGATGCCATGATCTCAATGTGATTGCCTTTTTGACACCAAAGCACCAAGGGAATCCACATGAGCTGTCTGTTGTGTTCTATGTTTTTCACTGTATTAATGAAAATATGAAAAGCAGAGAGTGCTTATAGTGCTAAACTTTTATTAAATTGCTGATGGAGCAGAATAATTGTAATTGATCTATTTACTATGAATGCATAGGCTTCACAAAGAAGTATCTAAAATATTTAAAGTCAAACACTATGAAGCAGCATTGAGGAAAATTCGGAATTTAACAATTGGCTTTTAATCCTTTCAAAGTTGGAAATTTAATGTAATAGTTCAATTTGAATTTCAGTTGGAATAACAGGAAGAATACTGGTTTACACAACAAAATGTGCAAGAACAGCCACTTAAGTATTCTTTTTAGAGATACACATAAAAAAAAAGTCATGTGCACTGCACTCACACTTTTTTTTCCCATGGTGAGATCATAACCCATCATGTGATCTAAACATCACGCATTCTAGGAAATGAAATGTTCTTTTAAGATAAAATAAAAATGAGTAATATAAGTACAAATTCAAAGTATAATTCTGCAATTCTGCTATGTCATTTTGAATTCATGAATTTATTTAGCATTCAAAAGGCATTCTAAATTCAATTGTGAATCATACACAGCCTGCATCAATGGCATAATAGACTTGAATCCTTAATTTCCAGAAGCCAGATATTTTCAGGCTGAGCCGTATGGGGAATTAGTCTTGTAACACAACCATTTTGAACTTAATCAGTGTGATTATCTGAAGAGTGTCTC